TTCTTGTCTGTGACAGTGAAGCCCTCCGTTGAGGCTGGGAGCAGTCCTCGCCACGCACTGCCAGCAGAAGCAGGATCTGGGTTCTGCCACACCCTGCGGCAACTCGAAATCCCAGGGCCTGGGAGCAGGAGCCCCTGCAGGCTCTCTGGCCCACAGCTCGGTGTCCCCTCCTCTCAGGTGCTGAGGCTGGGTCCATGGAGACCTCCCCCACACTCCGGGCTGGTTAGGGACCCAGATTTCCCCCTGAGGCTTTGTTGCTCAGCCTCCAGCAGGGTCCCGGGAAAGAGTGGAGAGGGTTCAGCCAGCAGATAAAATCTCACCCCAGTGCGGCCTGTGGAACAGATGGCCCTGAGGCCTCTAGCTTCACAGATAAGAAACAGAAGCACAGCCACCTCAATTTAGAAACAATTTAAGATATCATGCTAATTAAAGGGGTCTGCAGGCACAAGACCTGATTAGATTTAGATCCAGTAGTTAACAAAAATCAGATGGTTCAGAATAAGAAGCTCACATAAATTACAATATGACCCCACACTGTGCAGTTGAGGAGCTGTAGTGATATTTTTTCCAGGCTGGGTATTTCCCATCATCAGATACATTGTTTCCGATAGGGGAGAGGGTAGGTGGGGCCTCTGACTTTTTTATTCACTTAAAAATCACTGCAATTTGCTGAAGAAGGTTAAATGGCTCCTAACTCTTAGTTAAAAGAAAAAAACATAGGAAGCCCTGAAATGAATGGCTTCATTGAATCAAATCACTGGAGAACTAATGCCAGCGAGACCACCCAGGCCTCCAGCACCAGCTTTGAAGGCAGCGTTTAGTCTTGTAATTAGGGGATCCCTTTGTTTCTTTAAGGATGCGAAAGCGCATCCGAGGGAAATCACCTTTTCCGTAACACAGCAGCCACCAGCCCCAAGGGCGTTAAATACAGGAGGACCACACCGCAGTCACGGCCCCTCAGCTGTCTGTACAGAGGCGTCTGGTCCCCAGGCAGGTAAGGGGGGCACCCACTCACCTGTGCTGCTGAGATCCACACAAGGTGCTACGCAATGGACTTGACCATCCTTACAGGAGGCAACAAAAACTATTTTGCAAAAAGAGAAGCAGAACCGTTTGGGTCTTGAAAAGTTGAAGTGTCCCCTTCTCCTCCCCAGGCGGCTGTCAGAGGCTAGGCCGGCGCCTGCGGGAAGGCAGGCCTGGGATAGCAATGAGCCACCAGGTCCCTAAGGTACCATGTTGAATTTCTCAATCTAACTTTGTTTAGTTTGGGGAAAACATTTTTTCAGTCCTGAAAAAAAATCACTGTGGTTTCTCTCCCACTCCCACCCTCTGTAATCGCTGCCTGCAAGAAAGGGTTTCACCATTTTCCCATAAAACCAAAAAAATGAGGATGCTGGGCAGACATTCTTTGTTTCTTTTCTTCCATTCTAGCGATTCCCCTCACACCAGCCCCACTGCTCCAGGCAGGCCTGTCTGCCCACTGTCCCCACACACCCCTCATTCACGCTGGGCTCCAGCCAGGCATTGTCTGGCCCCTTTCTCCTGGACAGACTTCCTCTTCCAGAAGCCAACTTGACACTCACCTCGCTCAGCAACCCCGTGGTCGAGCTGGAGGTAGCCTGGGCTCCTTCTGCACACACGATGCCAGAACTGCCCTGTGCCACCTGCCAGCAGTGGGGAGCTCACAGCCTCCTCCCTGCCGTCACCCCAGATTGTCCTGCAATTGCTCCTTCATGCTTTCCTTCTCCCCGAGGGCACTGGTAACTCATCAACTCACCCATCAACCGACAGCTACTGAGCTCCCACTGTGGGTCAGTCGCGTTGTACGATATTATTTTGCACCCGCCCTTCGTGAGCCTTCTAAAGTCATTTCACACGTGTGGGCACACGGGCATTCTCTCCTCAACCAACAGACTAAGGGATGCCTTTTGTCTTCCAGTTATTTTCTGTCGACAGTCTTCTCCCCAAAGTTTTACTCACGTCCTGGCACCGGCATGCTGTTGATGGACCAATTCCCATCCTTTCTGCTCCTCTTAGCAGGGCGGGGCTGGGGTGAATAGCGTGTTAGTCAAACCTCCTGGATTCTGTTAAATTGTCCGGCTGCTGACTCACTGCGTGAGTGTGGACAAGTCACTTCCCTTTCTCAGCTCCAACTTCTCCAGCCTTGCCAGGCTCTTTAAATGAACATGGCTAGAATGACGGTGATGTCCTCCATACACAGGATAGCTACATAATTCATTGTCCAACTGTCACTTTTGAGAGCAAAAGGGAGTATTAATAATTATGCTGGGACAGGCTTCAACAGGTTTGTCCCTGGAAGGTTCTAGAATCTAATATAAAAATTGGGATGGGGCAGGCATTTCTTAGCTCATCACCTCCTAGCTTGTGGTGATGGAATGAAAGCAGCTTTCTGCAGCCTGAGCTATTAGCTTTGCTCGAGAGAAGGTGGTGAGAAATTCAGACCATCTTTCATACATGTCTAACCTGTGTGCAAAAATAATCAGACACAGCCCTCCAACGCTCACAGAATGATCTGAAAAATGGTGGGTGAAGCTGGAAAAGCGGGTCACAGTGAAAGGAAGGCTCTTACCTGCTCATTATAAGCCCCTGCCTCAATCATAATGCCATGTCCTGCTCCTCTGACATTTAAACTACCCTGGTATCAAGCACTTGCCTATTTGAAGTATCTTAACACATGGCCTGGAAGGAGGGCCAACAGGACCTCAGCATGGCTCTAAGGGGCCTTAGTATCTTCTGACAATGCAGTCAGTGCGACTGTTTACATATAAGACCTGCGCCTGGGCCTGCAGCTCTCTCCCCTGATTGAATTCCTTCTGGAAAGGAATATCCAGGTAAGATTAGAGAACCAGTATGCAGCATGCAACCACCGATCAGGAATCAGCAGAAACACAGCCACCCATGCTTGGCTCAGAAACCAGATTCAAGGCGCTGGCAGGAATTCGCCCTTGGGAAGCTGCAGCTTAACCTTCTAGTTCCTCAGGCTCCCTGCCTCCTTGGCAGAGGCCAAGCCAAACAGGGATCCTGGGTGAGGCCAGGCTGGACAGCCAATGCCAGCTCACTCGGGCTTAGCCCAGGGCTGGGAGGGGCCCAGGCAAACCTGCAGGATGCCAGGTGCTGGGCGGGATCCCAGGGAGAGGCAGGTTTCTGCAGCGCCCATTTCCTAGTGGAAAAGTGCGGGTTTCCCCAAGGCTATTGAGTGAAATACTCAAACTGTCTTCAGCCAGGGTCTAATCTAGCTAGAATCACCTGGATCCGGGATGAAGCTGGATCCAGTTACAGGCCTTGGCAGGCAGGAAGAGAGGTTTGCTACAACTGATCTCCAGTTAACACAGTCTCAAGGACCAGCCCAGCCAAGGGGTGCAGAATTAGGATCTGCAGTCTTTGCCCCCAGGCAGCCCCACTGACATCTTGAAGGGTTTGTTCCATTATCAGAGGGAGAGGAAGGGGAGAAGCCTTTGTTCTAGTATCAAAGAGAGAGAAAGGGAGAGAAGAATGGAGATGCTTGTCTGGGGCTATTTATTTTCTTTTAAAGTGTAAACTGAATTGGAAATGTCCACAGGGACACCAAAGGCATTTTGATTGTCAGCCCGTTTGGTGGGCAATATGTTCACTCTCTGTTCTGCCCTGCACACTGTTGGCACTTGACAAATGGGTGACAACACCTCTGTTGTGGTGGCTGCCTTTACAGGAGTACTTGGGTGGCCCAGGAGGGCTTCGTGACACTCATCAGGGCTTCCTGCTCATTAAAACGGATGCTACAGCACTCTGCAAGGACACTGGGTAGACTAACTCCAAGTTGAGAACGTTTCTCCTTTCTCTGGGAACCCGAATACAATACCCCAGATCTTGGGGAATATGGAGAAGAGAGTGAACTGAGAGTCAGTGCTGAGAAGGCTGTCCTCAGCTTAGGTGTCTCTGATGAATGCAATCCCAGGGTGTGCTTTTCCTCTGGAGCGAGTCTGCTCTTATCAATTTTAATGATAAATAACAGTATGCACTTCCCATTCGTGTACACACGTAGACACCCTGTCTCCACTCAGGGAGGTAAGATTAGGTACCTGGGCCTTTTAGTCTCTTTGATTTCCTGTCACTCAGCCCCAAATGCAGAAGCTCAGTGGATAAGGCATTCCCAGGGAATGACAAACAGCATGGACGTTTCAAGAAGGTTAAAGTTGGTGGTTGAGGGTGAGAGAGGTGGGGAGGGGAGGAAGAACCCATCCCAAGGAGGCTCATCTTTGCCATTGTCTAGTTTTAAAAACTCAGTTTACTCTTCTAAGTCCCTTGGCTTTGAGGCTGTCCCAGTAGACACGGGGCAGTATCCGCACCTGGGAGACAGGCGGTCCGGGCCAGAGCAGAAGGACTGCAGATTCTCAGATGACTTAGACTGAGTCACCAGCCCAGGCCTCCTTCGTTAACCAGAGGCCAGGCCCCAGTTTTGTAACACTTGAAGTCCCCGCTGGTGGAGGGTGAACCCGCCCTGATCTGCATACAATGAAGATGATTGCAGGCCTGGGTGAGAACTAAGGCCTGAGGACCCACGGCCCTCCAGGCTGCCCAGAGACGGGGGTGCAGGGGGAGGGGGGCTTATCCCATTATTCATACCACTGCTTCCTGGTCTTCTGAGCCATGCCAACCCCACTTCCCTCAATTCACTCCAAAAGAGCCTTATTGAGCTGTCCTCAATCAAGCGCCCCCCCCCCCCCCCCGCCCCTGCCATGGCAAGTCCTGTCTTCAAGGCCAGGAAGTGCCACTGTTGACATCACATCCATGGAGGGAAGGAGAGGTAAGTGGGTGATGTCACCCCGTGCTCTTGAAAATGGAGGAGGTTTGCTCTCATGCCAGGTGCTCTGCATTCTTTGATGTTGGCTAAGGCCAGAGCCCCTGTGACACAAACCAGGATGGGGCACAGTCACTCCAGAATGCTTACACCATCTTTTAATAGTAAATCGAAAGAACACGGAAGATAAAATGTACAGCAATCACAATTAGATTAATTTATTTATTCATTAGTGAGGAATTTTCCATTTCTTTCTACATGAGTAAAAGGTACAGGCTGCGTGGCTTTGGATGGAATTTGATTAATGAGAGACAGATTTGGATAAAAAATTTGTAAGGTCTCGAATGCCAGGCTACTGCCTTGGATGGTATTCAGAGGGGAGCCATTGGAAGTTTATAATTAAAACATGATTTGCTCTTTCCTAATGCTTTCCTGTAGACTTTAAGAGTCTGCCTACAGATTCAGCAAAGCCTGGAGTTCTACGACATGAGTGGTGAGTGGTTCTGAGGACTGGGACGCTGGCTGCAGACTATGGGGTCCTTTGTCTACTGCGGCCCGTCCTGGTCCTTTGTCAAGGTGTGACAGGGCCTCTCTGGCCATCCATCCCATGTCCTGTGTCAGGAAATAAGGAAGCAGAGGCAGGGCAGCTGGGAAAGGGCTGAGGTGACCTAACCTCTCCCTTTTAGGTTCAGGGGCCCACCCTCGAGGCACGGCCTGTAAGAGAAGTGGACCCACAGCTGAGTAACCAAAACAACACACCCAGCCAGTAATTGTCACCTCCACACCAGCCAGTGACCTGTCAGCCAGTGCACAGCTCTCACTGAGAAGTTCCCGTGCACAAGTCACCTTGGGGATCCAAGTGCCTGTGAACCATGGCTCGGGGCTTACATAAATTGAATTAGGGAAGTGAGACATGCGCACATGAGAAGTTCCAGAAGCAGCTAAGGATTGTTGCAGACCCTGAGTGAGTGCAGTAGTGGGCGGGCTTTGAGAGGAGGTGGGGCTGGCGCTGAGGCTTGAAAAAGAAACAGTTATGTTAGGAAACCAGAAGACGGGAGCGTGCTTTGGGCACGGTGAGAAAGGAGTGGATATTACGTGCAAGTACGCTTGAGAAAACGCCATTGCTCAGCACGGCGGCGCTGGGGCCCATGGTGGGGGGCTGGAGCAAAGGCAGGTTCGAATCCATCTTTGGAAGTCCTTGAAAGTCAGGCTAGGGGTTTGGAGTGTATTCAGAGGGGAGCTGTGAGAAAGTTTTGGTAAGGAGGATGAGATTCAATCAGACAGTATTTATTGAGAACATACCATGTGACAGGGACTGTGGTAGGTCCCGGGGGCTCAGCCATGATTCAGACATGGTCTTTGCCCTGAGAGAGGTTCTTGTTTGGGCGACATGACAGGTAAGAAGCAGATACTTTCAGTAAAATACGGTAAGTGCTATGGTGGAAATATTCACATGTTGCTGTCAGACCTTAATGATGAGGCACAAAGCCTGGTCACATGGAGCATGGTGTGGGAGGTAGGGAAAGGCATGTGATGAAATTGTTGGCAACAGGAGTTTGTGCTTTATCCTGAGGGCAATGCAGGGAGGCAGGGGAGACACAGTGCCCCGGAGGATGAACCCGGAACCAAGGGAGTGGCAGGGAGGACATGAGAGAACTTAGGAGATAGATGAGCAAGGGGAGGGAGGGAGAGAGTAGGAAGCGGTCATGAATTTAGGTGGATGAGTCTGGCAGAGCTCTGAAGGAAGGACAGGGTAGGAAGACACTAGGAGGTCAAGACATCCAGCAGGAAGCCATTGACCTTGGCTTGGCGTGAGGCGATAGAAGCTGGCACTGAGAAGAACAAGAATGAAAGAGAGGGCAGGCCCCTATCCAGCTCTTAGGATGGTGGTGCCGCCTTGCTGAGGATGATGCATGGGTTATTCAGGGGAAAGAAGTCATCTCAGTGCCACCAGTTACCTCTTTTAAATAAATCTATTCATTCTTTTTGTTATAGACAAAGAAGACGAAAATGTCCCCCAGCCTCTCAAAGACCACACCCACTGCTGACACTTGGGAAATATTTTTGTCAAGTGGTTTCTCCTGCATCGGTTTTTATTGTTGTAATCATCCCATGTCTACAATTTTGTATCCTGCTGTGTGTAACATTCTAGTTTGTATATTTTTTGCGTGTTAAGTTTATCCTTGTTATTACAAATGTTCATGTTTTTATATATATTTACATGAAAAGGCTCAAGTCACGCCTTTTTTTTCTTCCTTAGCCGTAGACTTTGAAAATGTTGCTTCCTTTCTATTCTTTCTCTCTCTCCCCGCTCCTTCTTTTCTTCCTTTCTTTCTTTTTCTTACACTTTCTAGTTCCCTCCTCACTGCCTACTTTCATTTCAAGTCCCCCTTTTCCAGCATCATGAATGAGCCTGTCTTTCAAATCTGTAAGTATCTGTAAGACATACACCAGAGGATTGCTCTAAGGCCTACCCTCCCAGAAGTTTTGAGGAATCTGCTGGGCTGAGGAGATTTCTGGTGATGGCAGGCGTCACTCAGAGAGGCTGGGGTCTGGTGGCTCCTTATTCTAAGCCAGGGACAGTTGTCAAGATGAAGAGGAGAAGAAAGTGAGACTGGACCATGGTATGTAAAGTTGTTTCCGGATTTTCAAGCTCACAGAGGCTCAAAGAGAGGGAAATATAACATATTCTACTTAGAAAAAAAATATGTGGCCTGTCAACTAAGTCACTGACCCACACTTGGAAAGAGAGTTTTAATATTATATGGTGTTTACAGCGATGTTGCATAAGAACCTGTTCGCTGTTTCCTTGTTTGGTATCATTAGTAGGTAGGTACACACAGCCTCTCTCTCTCTCTCTCTCTCTCTGTCTCTGTCTCTCTCTCTCTGTCTCCCTCTCTCTCTCCCCCCACCTCCCATAACCCAGTGAAATTTCCAAAGGAGCCTTTGTTCAGTAATCATGATAACAAGTTCTCTTTGTCTCATGTGCCTGTCACTGTCCCCAGCCCTTGTGTGTGTATTTCTCACGACACCGCCAGGAGGTAGATGCTATCATTACGCACAGAGAGGTTACCTCATTGTCCAAGGACACGCAACCAGTTTGTGCCAGAGCCTGGATTCAAACCCAGGTCACCTGACCCCAAAGCCCATTCTCTTAGCCACAGCATCATACTCCTATTTCTCTGTTATGTACTTTTAGTTTCACAGTGTTCATGTAGAGGATAGAATTCCAGTGGGATTTTATTGCAGCGATGAACATGATGTTCAAAGCTCATTCAACTCGAATGTAGATTAGGTACCAAGAACTCTACATTTTTTACAGTTCAATTTTTGGGTGACTGCATTTTTCAGGCTAGGCATGGAGCGACTCAGGAAACTCCTTGCCTATTGCTGAACCACCCAGAGAACTGCTTAGTGCTCTGCCTTAGCAGTGCAGCCCAGCCTGAAAGATGGCAAGGCTTTGTGTTCATCTGACATCCACGACCAAGGGCCTCAGAATTAGGACAGTGTGTTCCACTGGCCTAATCTAATTAGAACACTGCCATAACCACTCAGGTTTGTCCCTCGTCTGTCACAGAGTCCACCTCCCACCCTCCAAGGCTTCTGGTCCTGTCTCTTTATCAACTAGCAGAGTAGGAAATCTATGGAGTAGAGAACTTTGTGGGGAAGAGGAAGTCACCAATGTTGATTTCTGAAGTCCCCTTCTGTGTGCCTCCCTCCTGTAAAACTCTTGAATGACTTTCACTCCGTGTCGCAGCCCTGCTTGAAGTCCACCCACCCCCACTTGCCACATGCTTCCTGCCCCAAATGTCAAGGTTTTCATTTGACCATGATATAATGAGCTGTGTAAAATTAAAAACAGCTAAATACCATCTTATTTACAGTAATTTTCTATTTTCTGAAGTCATCACAAAACCTCTCCTTAACGACGCCAACCTCCAGATCATTCCAATCACCAAGGGGAAGCCCGGGCACTACAGCCACCAACCACAACGTAAACTGCCCAGAGCCAGAGGGCTCACTCGCCCTCACTCTGTCCTCACCCCGGGTGGGTCTTTCCATCACATGCTTTTTCGGCAACAGGGAGCCAGAGCAGAGGGAATGCTCAGTTTCCTTTCCAAAAACTGGGGACACTTAAAAATATCTCCAAGTAAGCAGCCAGGGTTCAGAGGAATGCTGTTCACAGTTGGAGCAGCCCAGTGTTGGGATTCAGGCACCCAAGTGCCCTCAAACCTGCACTTGCGCTGTGGCCAAGGCCCAGCGTGTGAGCACCTGTAGCAGACCCCCTTGGTCCGCTGTATCTCCATCTGGGTGGATGACCTGACCACATCCCTAATTCTCCTTAAGGCCAACACCTATGGACTGAATTGTGTCCGCTTCCCCCGATTTCACAGGTTGAAGTCTTAAACCCCAGTACTCAGAATGTGACTGTATTTGGAGATAGGGCCATTAAGGAGGCAATTAAGGTTAAATGAGGTCATAACGTCTACCCTAATCCTGTAGGTCGAGTGTCCTTATAAGAGGAGGGAGAGACACAAAGGATGTGCATGTGCTGGAGGGAAGGCCACAGGAAGACACAGTGAGAAGGCAGCCATTTGCAAGCAAAGGAATGAGGCCTTAGGAGAAATCAGACTTGTTAGCACTTGATCTTGGACTTCCAGTCTGTATTTTGAAAACAAAATTCATTTCATAATTTGGGCCCTTACTGGATTTTTTTTTTTTTTTTTGAGGAAGATTAGCCCTGAGCTAACTGCTGCCATTCCTCCACTTTTTGCTGAGGAAGACTGGCCCTGAGCTAACATCCATGCCCATCTTCCTCTACTTTATATGTGGGACGCCTACCACAGCATGGCTTGCCAAGCGGTGCCATGTCCGCACCCGGGATCCGAACCGGCAATCCCCGGGCCCCTGAAGCGGAACGTGCGCACTTAACCATTGCGCCACGGGGCCAGCCCCCTGGATTTTGTTTTTTTTCAAATATATAACATGATTCCATATCTCAAAATAGATCATAGATATCAAACTTCAGTATGATTTCCTGACATAGTTAAGTCTGTATTTTTTCTTGCAAATTACCCATCCTTACAGTCATTCTTTTAAGCTTGTTGAGTATAGATTTAATATTGTCATGTGTGGTGAGTCTCTGCTTTTTATCAAGTTTCGTTCCTGGAAAGTTTATGACAAAGTGAATTGCCTTAAAGTAGATTATATTTTACCATAGGAACAAGAATAGAATTGAGAGTCTTATTCTTGATTTAACATCAAATGAATTTCAGATATGACCATAATATGTCACAAAAGCAAAAACACAGCAGTTTTAAACCCCTGTAATCGATTACAAGAGTAAAATTAATGTCCAAGCCATTTAAAACGGGATTAAGTAGATTATATATATTTTGTAATGAAAAGCACTCTCTCTGTGTATAAAATAGAAATGTCCCTGTTTTTCCACCTCTTCCCTGACAGTTCATTCTACACACTGGCACCAGATTCATCTTAATAGATGAGGCTCCAAGTTGACACAGCTTCACTGGCTCCCCTTCACTTGTAGGATCAAGGTGAAACGCCTGAGCATGGACGTTCCCCCCAGGAGAGCCTCAGCTACTTCCTACCCCCTCTCACTGCCCAGCACTAGCCCACTGCTTAGCAAACTGGTTAGCAGCTCTGGGTCCTTCACGCACATCCCAGGCTTTTCTCGCCTTGGTGTCCCTGTTCTCTCTCTCCACCCGTTCAACCCTTGTCCATCTCTCTACCTACGCAAATCCCATTCCTCCTGCAAGGCTCTGCTCAAGTCCCTCTGCCTCCCAGGCCTCACCCAATGCCCCTGCAGCCCAAGAGGACTCACCTGCCTGACGCCAAATCACGGGTGGGCAGGTGACCTTGCCCGGGTTGGGACATCTCTCTATGCTGTGCCTGCTAGGTTGTGCTATCCATGCTGGACGGCTTAATCCATCTACCACTGTGCTTTGTAAAGAGAAGGGAGAGAAAACCAACTTTTGCTGAGGACCTACTATGGGCCAGGCACCATGTCCCGCATTTTTATACATGTTCCCTCATTGAATCCTTTCAACAACCTTACGCAGTAGGTATTAGTGTTTCCATTTTAACGACTGAGAATACAGAGGATGAATAACTCCTTCAAGTAAATCAGCTAAGAAACGATGGAATCAGAAGTGAAACTGAGAAAGTACACAAGAAGGATATAAAACCAGAAATCAGGAGATCTCCAATTCAATTAACCTCTTTGAATCTCATTTTTTCTCATTAACGAAGAGGGCTGACAATACCCACGTCACGGAAATGTGCGAATTAACTGCAGACATACTTTGGAAAGCCTTTATCAGCTATGGAGGTATTATTTCTCACGATGCCTAGCATACTCTGATGCGCAGTAAATATTTGTTGCTAGATTGATTTCTAATTCTTCTCCTAAGAGTTGTAATATCTGTCAGTCTCGCCCGCCATGTCTCCCTGCTCTTAGCTGGTTATAATAATATTCATGTTTTCAACTGTGAAAAAGAAATCATGCTGTGATCTGCTGAGAACCATTTTCCAGTCCAGAGTGATCGCATAGTCAACACGTACCTGCACACGTTTACAAACATTGCTAATGTCCTCAGGAGACTTCTTTCCAGTATTTTCTAGTCTGCGTTGGGGAGTACTAACGAACTCCACTGTGTAAGACCAGTTTGTTTCTATTCTTTGGAAGATAACAATGGTCAACAATCATTGCTGTGTCTCCTGTGTGTAGGGCTCACTTAAATGGGCTGAAAACCCTTGATAGGGGGTGATTATCAGCTTTTTCTCTCCAGACCAAGCTACCTAAGAAAAGAAGCATTGGTCACATGCTAAGTCATTTATTTTTGCTAAGAGTTCCATTCCTTTGCATGATAATGGTAACCGTGTTTCGGCTTCTGACTTATCTTTCCACACCTGAATATTTGTGCACTGTATTCAGCATCTTTTGTGGTCTAGGTTTCTATTATTTATTTGGGTCTTCAGGTTTCCTTCTCTGTCATCGTCCTTCCTTTCACGATTACCCAGCTTACCTCCTTGCAAACACATCTTCTTTCTTTATTCTCGTCACAGTATGATTTTGACCCTCAGCTTTCCTATTTAACCTTTCAGAAATTTCCTGAAGCAGTCTCCTCTTGCTCTGGTGTAATTAGAGTTCCTGTCTCCGAAACTCTATCCTCAGAACTTGTTCTTGTCCTTAATTTCTCTCCTGCTTGTAAATTTCCTTTCACCTAAAGGAGGAAAATCAGTAACTCTTTAAATTTCTTAACTGTAATTTTAATATCTTGGCTTCTTTTTATAGGAAACTTCCTTACCCTTTGGAGCTCCTTTTCCACCACAACTGACTGAACAAAATCAAAGTTATTTTTAAGATGGAATGGTCCACACAAATCGGTAGTAACAGCACTTTTGCGTAAAGTTAATAACTTCTAGATATAGATTTTATTTCTCTGTCAGATGTTTTTGCTCTATAAGATTACCCAGTGATTAAAACAGAGACCTCATCCAAACAAATCCATCCTATAGCACACAACCCTTTCCCTTCTGTGTCCAGGACACAAGCCTTTTTCACTCTGCCTAGTTCAACTCTTCATAAATATTAATTGATCCCATTGATTCATCTTTCCATCTTACATCCATTAATAGACACCTCTCTGGATGGACATCAGACAGTTTATCCACTTTAACCAGCCTCATCGATTCTCTTTTCTGGAGAACGCTTGCTTTAGAGAAGTCAGAGGAAACTTGCTTCTCCTCCTGCTTCCTTTGTCAGGTCTCCCGAGGAAGAGCCAATGGTGAGAGGAGGTCTAACCCCTCCATCTTTCCTGTCTTCCTCTCTGTCCTCATAGTGCCCTTTTTTGCCCCAGAGCATTCCCTCCTGTCTTCCCACAGGGCTCACCCTCCACACCACTTGTTACTCAGCGTCCGTGCTGCCCGCCTGTCATTGCAGTGGCCACCCTTCCAGGTGGCCTGGGTGGCCATCGTTCTTGGTCCATGGGTGTTCCCGGGAGTCCTGTTGAGCAGAGATGCGATAGGACCAGGGTCACTGATGGGATTACTAATGGATTGCTGACAGATGGGGCAGACAGGAGGTCAGTCAGAGCTACTCTGGCTGCGGTGACAGCTGGTCTTCCTTGGTCAAGCAGACCCAACTCTCCTCACAGGGGGAGACTCTGCTAGGATGGTTGGGATGGACTGAGGCAAATATGCATCCTCCGGGCAGTGGCCCTTTCCTTTGCTGGCTTTATTGAGAGAGAGGTCTCCAGTACAGAGTGGCCCTCTCCTTCCATGGGGCCACCTGAGGCAAAGAAACTGTTTCTGTGCTGCTTGAGTATAATCTCTTTGGGAAATGGGGTGCTTAACGCCTAGAAGAGGTGAGTCTTAAGGGAGCCTGAGAGGGAATTAGGTCACAGGTGCCCAGCAGACCCACTTGTACCAGCTGCTCTAGAAAGGAAAGCAGTCTTGTAAATAGAAGGCAGAAGTGTATACATGGTCACAGACAGAGGTCAGGGTGGAAGTGAGAACTGAAATTCAGGTTTCTTACCATTAGAGTCCCCTCTCCCCCATTGCCTGCCAGGGGAATAGTGAATAATAGATAGTAATAATAAGAAGAAGAATAGTTAACCCATGTATGCTCTCTATATGCTAGACATTGTTCTAATGGTTTAATACATAACATTTAATCCTCATATCAACTACAATAGTCCCCATTTAACAGATGGGGGAAAGGGACACTCATAAGTTAAGTGACCAAGGTCACAAGAGAGAACGGTGTGATACCAGGACTCAAACCCTGGCAGTCTGGGTCCAGAGTCCACAGTCTTATCCACATGTGTGTGTGTGCATATGCATGCCTGTGTTCATGCACATGTGCGTGAGAGAAAAGGAGATACAGACGTGGAGATGGTGATAAGCATATGGCTCATGTGGTTCCTCTCCAAAAAGTATTCCCAGACTAAATAATGGTTCCAAGAGTGCCTGTTAAGTCTTCTCCAATCCTTACCACAATCCAGCGAGATTTTTCAGTTTCTAAGTAAGAAAAAAGAAACTCAGAAAAGTGGAGCGAATTGCCCAGGACCACTCAGAGAGTATGGGTGACCAGGATTAGAATCAAGGCCACATTCTTTCCAGGAAAACCCCAGGCCTTGTCTGGAGAGGACCCCTCCCCTTGCCAAGTGCATGGGCCAATCAGATAGCTCACAGAACTCGTTCATAAGTTTTTTTGAATTTTCGTTACACATGTCATTGAAAGATCCTCGTATCTATATCATCTGGCTGATAAATTTAATAAGATCTGATCTGACTCTATAGATCACTGGAAGAACAGAATGGACCCCTCTTTGCTGATCATTTTTGTAGGGAATATCAATCCAATATTCTGGATTCATTGACGGGCACGTATTTCCAGAACTAAAGAGATAGCCCAGTGATAGTCCCTAATGCTTATCCTTGAAGAAGGAGCTGCCCCCAAATGCAAGGAAAGATGCTACAAAAGACTATTCCTGCTCCTTAATTTAACCTAGCATCTGCTTGTTTTTGTCCTTCCCCTTCAAGGGGTTTTTTGACTAGCCAGAAGGTAAGAATGTTGTCTGAGTCCTAATCTGGACAAACTTGACCTGCGAACTCACACGTGGCTTCAGGCAGCATCATTTTGTGTGTGATTTCATCTGGAGGATGAAGGCATAGGTAGCTGGGGGAGCAACTGAAATGGGGAGGCCAGAGTGGCATCTGTCTCAGAAATTGTCTCAGGCCTAGCAGTGTAAATTCATGCTCAATCCCCGGGCCAGAAGGTCTGCAGGCATTGCTGTAGGAGCTGATTCATGGAGGGCTCAGGGAGGAGGGGGCAGGAACATTCTGCTTTGAGGGAGTGCCAGAGTCACGTGGGGTGGGGGAGGGGACTGTTACCTTCCCTTCCATAGGGGTCTGGGCAAGGGGTGGGGGGGAGCTGGATGTTCTCTGTGGGGTGGGATGGGGTGGGGGTGGGGAAGCCAGCAGAACAATGGCAGGGCTGCTAGTGAGCACCTGTGAGACGCCCTTCAGGGCCCACAGAGATTCTTGGAAGGCGGCGCCGAGGACTGAAATCCTCTATTCCGTACTCCGGTGTGTTGGGGTGATCAGAGCCTGTGAAATCTGGGTTGTTACTGTTAATGTGACTCATGAGTATCCACACATCATTGGAGCCTGGCCTTATGAGAGCAATACTCACATGAGTGGGGTGGTCCATGAATACAGGTGCGGTGGGTTCTCCACCACCAGGCAGCCTTTGAAAAGGAGGGAGGCTCACATTCGTGCTTGGGGATATAAACACATGATATAAGAATATATAAATATAGATACATTTCTCTTTGAAAAGATATCTCAAGGCCTTTAGTTCCAGGATTGTGGATACGATCCGAGTTACAGGAGCTCGGAGTGTGGAAGCCTGTGCCTGTGCGGACTTAGAGAAATAAAAGCACACAAAGTAAATCCTGGGATCAGCGAGGGCCCTGGAAAGCCCCTCGTCCGGAGGCTGAGAACACACGGGCCGAGTAACGGCACGTCCACCTTGGCAGGTGCGCTGCGTGACTGCCCGGGGGAGCTCCCCGCGGTGCCTGCTCATCCAGGGTATTTCCACAGGCATCCAGATACAGACACATTTCACGAGCATGGGGGTTCACCAGGAGCTCAGCCCACAGCTCCCACCCAGGCTTTCCAGCTCCCCCAACGCTGTCCCCAAAATTCCCAAGCAGCCGTTAGAGCCAGATCCCGTGCAAGCCGGGACAGGACTCTCCCGTGCCTTCACCAGTTCCGGGCAGACCACCAGCGGTGCCGGGCACAGTCCACGTATCTGCTAAGTCTTTCATCTTAATATGGTGTCTTGGTACTTTAATTAAAGGATCCCAGAAAGCTGATTCCTGAAGGAGGCTGGTGTTGAGCCAGGTCCTTATATAACACACCTACTTGCTATAAACAAGAGCACCACAGAAAGATTTCCTACTGCATTGAAAGCACTCCCTTCTTTTCCCGCAGTTTGGACAACAGCCTTGAAATGGTCATCAATAAGGACGACATTATTCCACATTTAATGTTGTACTTATGTGTTCTGTCCCTTTCTGTTCCCCTCCTTCTTCCCCCACCTTGAACTCCTCACCTTGGAAGGAAATAGAGACTTTTCCTCAGCGTAATCCTCCTGAGCAGGCTGCTAGGCCTGTCACCGGTAGCGGCCGCCTTGGCAGCTGCATCGGTTGCTGAGGGCCTGGTGAGGGGCATGGATAAGCCTGTTGACGGAAGTGAGAGGAAAGGTCCTTAGCAACCCTTCTTGTCCTGCTGTTCTTTTCAGGCCCTCATCAGCTTTGCCAGAGGGGGAATTATACTGCAGGTTTCAGGAGCTGTCTTTGTCAGGGGACACAGCACAGTCAGCGGGATGTTGGAGGGAAATTCCATTAAAAGGAAGAGAGATAGAGTTGGATTATAAACGAAGAAGCGCATATCCTCTCTCACTTCCTGAAGCTGAGCCAAGTGACTTCCAGAAAAGGTAGGAAGAAGCTTGGCTTTATCTCCTAGTCCCTCTCAGCCCCCTGGCCTCTGTGAGTGGGTTTTGCTTTTTGAGGAAGCCTGAATACTACCCTCCCAACTCTTGATCTGCCTAGCTGTCTCCCTAATGTTGAGAGATTTCAGTTCCCAGATAAATGGCGGGAAATCGCTTCAGGGAGAGGGAAGACTGATGGTGATGAACGCTCTGGATGTGGCCCAGGGAGGAAGCCACCTGACGGCAGTGCATGCTGGGGCTATCGTTCTCATGTACTCCATGAGGTCAACAAGAGGCAGGCAGAGCTCACATCGTATACCTGAGCTGTGTCACATGGACGCTTGCTGGAGCCTGGGGTCCAGGCTGGGAGACCAGACAGCTCAGCTCACCCACTCGTCACCTGAAGATGTGAGAAAGCTACTCAACCTCCTTATCCTCATTTATGTTTTGCCCCTTCGTCTGTTAAGAAATGAGTTAATGCTTTATGATTTCCTATCACTTTTTTCTGTCAATTAATACTTATACTTTGAACAAGTTTTGTTTTCTACACTTCACGTCTATGTTACTTAGGACTTAAAATTTATGCCTGTTATTGATTTCATTCCTGAAGGTGATATTCTTTATCAACAAAATATTACCTTCTGGGACCCATCAATTTTTGCAGCCTTAAATTTTAATTTGACTGATACTAATTTTGTAATATTTATTTTCTTTTTGGTTTGTGTTTGCCTGGTGAATTGCTCCAGTATTTTCATTTTTATGAGTTAGTATGCCTCTTTATAGGCAGCATGTAGCTGAATTTTCTAGGAAAATATAAGTTAAGTCTATAAGAAGTAGGTGCCTTAATAAATCAATAGCTATAGAGGATACTAAGCAAGTTGTTGGAGGACTGCTTTCAAGAAAGTCAGAAGGCTCAGATAGGTGTATAGTTTATGGGTGAGTTTTTTCAAACTTAGAACAAAAAATTGATTCCCACACTAAATAAATCATTGCAAAACACATTAAAATATGTAACGCTTTCCAAATCAGTTTATAAATTTGTGTGATCTTGTTAACAAATCTGATGAACCTAGAACGAAAAAAGCAACTACACACCAATCTCATTGATAAGTACAGATAAAAAACTTAAAAATGTTTTAGCAAATCAAATCCAGAAGCATATTAGAAGAATAACATGTCATACCAAGGAAGTTTTATTCCAGGAATGCAAGGAAGGTTCAATGTGAAGAAACTAATAATCGAGTTTATCACACAGAAACATTTGAGAAAAAAATGATAATCTCAACGGATACTAAAAAGGCATTTGGTAAAATTCAACATTCATTCCCAATAAAACCAATCTATAACCAAATAACCAACATCACAGTTAACAATAAAATAATAAGGATATTCCCATTAAAACTGGGAAACTGATAAGGATGTTTATTACTTTCATTATTCTTAAACATTTTCCTAGAAAGTTCCGTTATAAAACATACAGAGAAAATAAGTAAAAATATCAAAAAAGAGGAAAAAGTATTGCAAATTATATGACTGTCTATCTAAAGAAACCTGAGTAAAATTTTAAAAAGAAATTGTTCATCAAATATATATTTGAGGGGCAATAAAGCTTGATAACCAAGGACAGGGCTCAGGACTGACATCTGAAGCCTAACTCTGCCACTTACCAGCTCTGTGACCACGGATAAATTATTTAACTGCTGACGTTAAATAACTACAAAGTAGCTAACATTTATTGAGCGCTTACTTTGTCCCAGGCATTGTGCTAATCACTTTACCTGCATCCTAGGAGGCAGGTGTTCTTATCACCCCATTACATGCGTGAGAAAACTGAGTCACTCAGTCACTGCCCAACATCACACAGCTGGTGCGTGACACAAGTGGGATTTGAGTGGGTGGAATCCGACTCCAGAATCCTTCCTCCTAACTGCCAGGCTGCCCTGCCTTTCCTTGCTTCACCCTGTGATGTTTAGCGACCATTATTATAGTAATATAAAAAAAATCAATACTTTTCCTATATACCATTAATAACCAATTAACAATATATTTAAAAGAATAATTAGATTGAAAACAGCAAAGCGAGATAAAAACCCTAGAAATAAACGCAACAATAAAAGTGCAGGATTCATACGAAGAAAAATAAAAATTTTAATGAGGGACAAAAACGAATATTTGGACAAATAAAGAGATATATAATTTCCTAGATGGGAAGACAGATAATAGGAAGACATAAATTCTTCTGACATAATTTATATATTTAGTGTAACGCCAACAAAAAATCAAAAGGATTTTATTTTTTTGGAATTCAACAAAAGGACAAATGTTCGTTTGCAGGAAAAAATGAGAACAGACAGAATTTTTTGGAAAGTGGAATAAAGGAAAGTGACTTGTGTTGACAGAATTCAAAACGTTTAATAGAGCCATAACAACTCGAACTGTGCAATTCTATGTCTAGCCAATGAAATAAAATAGAAAGTCCAGAAATACACACGATAGAGACACTGTGCAAAAAACACTGAGAGAGAGGATAAATCATTTGATAAAAGGTTTTCTAAAATGAAACGGGAAGAACGTGTCACACACAAAAAACAAATGAGAGATTTGCCTTTGTACACATTTTAAGTAAACGCCAAGAATATGGTGTCAAAAATATAATCAAGTTAAGAGAAAAGATAAACTGCTAAAATATTTGCACGATGTATTCTAAAGACCTCCTTAAAATATAAAGAATTGTTAAAATTAACAAGGCAAAATAAGGATAAGAAGAAACAATTAGGAGAATAAAAATTAATGTGATCAATAAACACACAAAAACATGCTTGTCTGACAACTAATCAAAGACAAGCTGACTAAAGTATTTTGTATGTGAGACGACAATTATACATGTCTTTAATCACCTGGTATTTTATCAGCAACAATCAGTTTAAAAATGTGCTGAAAAGTATATCTATTCTCAATAGCAGCCAAAGCCATAAATCACCAAGTTACAATCCTATCAAAAATATACTTCCTAAATTTTCTAACACATGTAAAAGATTTGATTAAATGAAGATCTGTATCATGATTCTGAAATGAAATGTGAAATATTATAAAAATGCAAATATAACAAATTATTGCAAAGAAATGTACCTCAGCAGCATGGGTGACTCTCACAAGCATCGGTCAGGAAAGAAGTCAGTGACAACAGTTTTCATTTATATCAGGTTCGGAAACAGGCAAACCTAATCTATGATGATCAAAGCCAGGAGGGTGGATACGTCTGGAGAGAGGTCAGGGACGAAGGGGCACACGCAGTGCCTCCTGGGGTCTGGTCAAGTCTGTTTCATGATCTGGGTGATAGACACAAGGCTGTGCTCAGTACACCCAACAAGCTATACATTTATGATTTGTACACTTTTCTATATGAATGTTATACCTCAATTAAGGTTTAATTTAAAAAAGAGAAGTACAGGGGCTGGCCAAGTGGTTAAAGTTCCATGCACTCTGCTTAGGTTGCCCAGGGTTCACAGATTTGGATCCCAGGCATGGACCTACTCCACCCATCAGCCATGTTGTGGAGGCATCCCACATACAAAGTAGAGGAAGATTGCCACAGATGTTAGCTCAGGGCCAATCTTCCTCAAGCAAGAAAAAAAAAAGAGAGGAAGGTTGGCAATGGATGTTAGCTCAGGGTGAATCTTTCTCATCAAAAGAAAAGAGAGAAGTACAAAGTTAGACTCTTACTTCATACTTTATATTTAAAAAGCTACAAGTGAACCATAAGTGTTAAACATAAAATGTTAAGTAATAAAATAGCAGAATGTGAGGTCCATGGGAATAAGCTGTTTGGTCCATACTGCTTGCTGTTTTGGTCCCAGCTTCTAGAATAAAGTCTGGCTCCAAAGATACCTAATATTTACTGAGTGAGTGAATTAGAAGAAAATACCAGTGAATATTTAACTGATATTGAGATGGGAAAGGCCATTCTAAATATAAACATAATGGGAAAGAAGGCATATTTTTAAAACACTCATATACTTAACTACATAGCACTTAAAGCTTGAAGTAAAAAGCCTAAAAGGTATAAACAAAATTAAGGGCAAAAAACCAAACTGGCAAATGGTTGTAACAAATGTGACAGTGAGGATTAATATCTTTAACAATCAATATGGAAAATTCAACCCAGGGAAAAACAGGTAAAAGCAAATGCACAATTGGAAAAAAATACAAATGACCAACTAACACATGTAAAGGTGTTTGATCCCATTAATAACCCAAAAATGCAAATCAAAACTATAAAATGCCAAAGTTTTTTCTTTTTGGATTTTTTTTTTCCTACCAAAGTTTTTCTTCATTCAGTCAACAAGTATTTCTTGAATGACTACCAGGTCAGCATGCCTGGAGATTCCAGAGTCAAAGAAAACAGCCAATGGCCTGCCCTCAGGGAGCTTACATTTTAGTGAGGAACACAAAAGACAATGAACAAATAGCTGGATAAGTAGTTTGTCAGGTGGTGAGCATTCCTACTGGAAACAAAGGGTAGGTTCATTGATTGTAGCAGAAGTCCCACTCTGGAAAGGCATCTTGATGGTGGAGGAGGCTGGTGGGGGCAGGGTGAGGGGGCATATAGGAACTCTGTACTTTCTGCTCAGTTTTGTCCTGAACCTAAAAGTGCTCTAAACAAAATTGTTTTTAAAAAAAAGCAGGGTGAGGGAGACGGGGATATGAGGCCGGTGGCGGAGGTTGGTAGTTGATATGGAGGGATTTTGGAAGGCCTCTCCCATGAGGTGGCATTTGAGCAGAGACCTGAGAAGCGGGAGGTGGTGATCTGCGGTGGAGGGCTGAGCACTCCAGGCAGAGGAACAAGCCAAGACCCTGTGGCAAGAGAACAGCATCTTCACAGAATATCCGGGAGGGCAGGGAGGTGGGGGGGGGGGGGGCGTGGAGTGAGCAAGGTGTAGAAAGGTAGAAGATGAAGTGGGAGGAGTGGATGAGAGTGGCTGGAGGGTGATCCCATAGGGCTTTGTAAGAAAACTTCAGTTTCCTGCTCTATGAAATAAAGTCTATTAATTAAAAAAAATAAAGAAACTTTCGCTTTTACTCTGTATGAGAATCCAGTTATGGGTTTGGAACAGAAGCGAGACAGGATCTAACTTACACTTTAAGAGGCTCTCTGGCTGCCGTGTTGAGAATGGATTGAGGGTTGGGGTGCTGAGAGCAGTAAAGAGGCCGCTGCAGTGATCCAGGCGGAGGTGATGGTGGCTAGGATGGATGGGCACTTGGGAGAAAGGAAGAAGTGGTCAGGTTCATCTGCATTTTCAAAGTAGAACCAAGCAGATTACGTAGGAAATAGATAGACAGAATGAGAAAGAAGAGTCAAGGGTGACTCCAAGGTTTTTGGCTTGGGCGTAGGGTAGAATCAATGCATTTGGGGTCCTGTTGGAGACAGAGAATGGGTGTAGATGGAATACTGGAGAGCGAGTTAGCAAGTAAGAGGTGATGGCTGGAAAATAGGATGCTTGACGTTGAGATTATGGAGGAGATGCAATTATTGGGAATGACAACAATTAGGAGAGAACCACGTGAGTAGATAGCTGTATGAAGTGTATTGTGGTGAGGTGGAGAACAACATCATTGGAGAAGAGATCAAAGAAGTGAGAGGCCAGAGTATTGGAAATATCAGCCAAGTGAATATTGACGTCACCAAGATCATGACATAAGTAGAGTTGGTGAGAGGGTGTGTGAGCTCCATGTGAGCTATAGGCCAAAAATCTTTCATAAATGAAGAGAAGTGGTGTGGGGAGAAGTAGATGATTGAAGCAAGGCGGGTAGCACATTTTCTGCGACATGATTTTCAAAGCTGGGGGCATTTAGAGAGGAGGCAGGGAAAATGGTCTGGAAGCATTGATAGGAAAAGGCAGCAATGATATACCACTTTGGTAGAAGTAGTTCAAGAAGTGTGGGAGAAAATGAGCTATGATGTCAAGAGGCTGCAGGCAAAGCAGCGTCGTCAGAGGAGAGCTGGGTTCCAGTTACAGCAAGAAGTTGA